AACCTTAAACCGCATAAACACATTGCATTACACCAAATACACAACCTAATGTTCTTTTAAGCAACGTCATATGACCCCTTTAAAACTTGTACTTGCTAAAATTTGACACTTATTCCCATATATGCCTTATTTTAGAGTGTTCAATCATGAGGAACAGTTGGAATAAGGTGATTTCTATTTTGTGAATTCATGCAGGTTTACACCAGATTTCACATCATCCAGAGTGATCCGGGAGCTGAAGTTGGTGACTGCGGGGGGTTCAGTGTTTGCTTTTGTGCTGAATGCATCATTGCCATATCACATGCTGGCAGTGTGTGCTGAGACCCTTCCGCGACCCAACTGGGAGCTTGAGCTCTACATCATCGTCTCCCTCATTATGAGGTCTGATTTTTCATATCTGATCCACCTGATGGCTAAGAAAGTCTAAAAAAATGTCTTAAAACATTACACATCCAAAACTATGCCTTTGTTTACACATCACTCAATTCTGATTTGTTTTTTGAATCTTATGTTTAGTATTGATTATCCACACTGCTTTTTGTAGTTTTATGGGTTTTATTTCTGGAAAAAAAAACCTAGACTAAAGAAAGTCACGTTAAAGAAATGTTATAGATTTGTTATAGATTTATATTATGTAACTTGTGCATTGTGATTGTAATGTATTAGTAATACTTTGCTAATTCTTTTTAATGTACAATATTGCTATTGTCTCTCTTTCTGTGGATGATTAACAGTCTGATATTTCTCTAGCTCCATGTTCCTGCTGGTCATTGCTACAGCCTATCTGGAGGCCCAGGGAATATGGGAGCCTTTCAAACGACGGATGTCTGTGGAATCCAATTCTCCCATGGAGACTGGAAAACCATTTGATCTCAGGGAAATTGTACGAATTCAAAGTGATGCTAAGTGAGTGAGGATTTTTTCAAATTTTATATCCATAATTTATGATGAAGTGATATTTCATTTTTGTTTCTCTCTATTTTAATCCACATTTTATGTACGAAGTTTTACGAAATGCATTTAATCTGTTGCAGCTTGAATGATTTTGCCGACTCAAACCAGAACTCAACAAGAGGAATGTACGGGTCAAGCGGTGGCGGGCGGGCTGGGGGTCGACAGGGTGGTCCGCACTCCAGTTCCAACAGCAGCGGTGTTCTGCCAGACAGCAAGCCCAGATCTGGTTCAGGCCGCTCTGGATCTATGCAACACTCCTCCAGCTTTCCACTCACTAAAGATAGTGGCCAAGGACTGAGTCAGCTAACTAATCGAAGAGCCCGGAGTTCCAAACAGCAGCAGCAGAGCTCAGGCCTCCTGGAGGACCTCCCGAGCTCAGGACCTTCACAGTCCAACAGCACAAGGGCCAACAGTACAGAGGAACAGGATTACAGCCGACTTGTGGCAGCTATGGATAAAGACCTCGACAGGCCTGAGTCTCCTGCCATTAATGTGTCTTCACAACACAATTCACAGCAGTCTTCACAAAACAAAGGTAATATATCAACATAACAATATAGACTAATTTATTAGGGCTGGGCAAAAAAATAGATTTTTCGATTGAAGGCACAATATGTAATTTTCGCCGCTAGAGGGCACGTATTCAAAATAAACAAATAGACAAAGGAGTAGTTTGACGCCGTGACTGAGTGTGGAATCATGGGAGTTGTCGTCTTCATTCCCACAGCCAATGCAATCCGACGGGACTCGGGCAGAAATCATGTTCATGGATGAGCTAATGATTTATTAACGTAGTAGAATGAAGCAGGGTGAGGCTGAAAGCCGTCGAAGCGAAACGAGGCCGCTGAACGAGCGTGACACACGGCACGAAAGCAGCAGAGCTTTTATTATGCCACAGTCTACCTTTTCCGCTCCTTCCAGTCGTGCGTATGTGGGGAAAAAAAAGCAGCGCTGTTTTATCATACTAGATACATTTGAAAGTTCTGATATAATGCTACTCTGTGCGGTCATCACCTGACTAATAAAACGCATAACATTAAAGCGTCTTTGGTGTTTCCATGTTTTCTACAAAAAATCGAAGGGGTTATGACGTCATTGGCAGGCGACACAATGACACTGTGGACACGGTCCGTGTCACTAGTTAAAATTTGCTTATTTCTCTGGATTTAAACATTCTTCGAAACATTTGGGATAATGTAAGTACACAAGTCAGCAAAATATTTAACACAGTTCTAGTGGTTTTTGTATATTTTAATAAAAAAATCTTACATATTGTGCCTTTAAGTACAGGCACAAGAGGGAGTTAGCAATAGCAAGCAGCAGTAGCCAGCATGGCTCACCTGCTGAACAAATTTATAATGCTACTTTGTGCGGTCGTCACCGGTCTAATAAAACGCATAACATATTAAAGCGTCTTTGGTGTTTCCATGTTTTCTACAAAAAATCGAAGGGGTTATGACGTCATTGGCAGGCGACACAATGACACTGTGGACACGGTCCGTGTCACTAGTTAAAATTTGCTTATTTCTCTGGATTTAAACATTCTTCGAAACATTTGGGATAATGTAAGTACACAAGTCAGCAAAATATTTAACACAGTTCTAGTGGTTTTTGTATATTTTAATAAAAAAATCTTACATATTGTGCCTTTAATCGTTTTTTTAAATTACGTCGATTCGATATAGATTCTCAAAAGCCGCAAATCGATCTTTTCCGGTATTTATTTCAGCAAACATTTAAAACAAGATCTGATTAATGTGAATCTTATCATTAGTCTTCTCCACTAGATGCCACCCTTACGCAATGTTACAATGGAAAGTTTGTCATTCATTCAGTGTTTATCATGGCGGAGATACTGTTGACAAGAACCAAGAACAAAGCATGCGTGATTTGCAATGCTCAGGTAAAATTCTATAGTAATACTACAAATGTGTGGAAGCATTTGACATCACGCGTAAAGGCGCCATTGTTTCCGCAATGAATGAATGAATGGCGGATGGTGCGACACACTGTTTTGTTTACTACACACTTACTAAAGCGCGGACGATGCTCACGGTGTCTTCAGCCTCTGTCGTCTCACTATGATGATATGAATACACAAATTTTTAATTTTAACAGTAAACCTCTGTTGTGTAGCACTTTGTTTGCCAAAAAATGAAAGGGTTTAATTTTCATTTGATTAGGATAAATTAAATTAATATTTTATGCCTTCATCTGATTACCAGAAAAATTAAGAAGAACGTTTTATTAGGCCCTATTATTGTTTAAAAAAGGACCCTATACAAAAAAATAATAGGTTTAAAATACAGGCCTGTGGCTCTTAATTTCTTTTTATTAATTCACCGTTTGTAAACTGATGTTTACTGTTAATTTTTTTGAAATATCAATAGCATTTGTATTAAAACTATATTCACTGAATGTAATCAAAAAATCGAGAATCGAAATGAATCGAGAGCTTGCGAATCGAAATCAAATCGAATCGGGACATCTGAATCGATACCCAGCCCTATAATTTATCATGCCAGGTGTTTGTCCCAGAGGACAGTGTAATTTGCGAAATGCACTATAATTTCTGTTAATTTACTTTTATTTTTCAGTGCTTGAATCAAAAGGGAAAGTGAAGAATAAAACAAAAGCTCTTAAAAAGAAAGAGGAGAAAGAGAGGAAATCAAAGGGAAAGACTCAAGGAGAAGATTTAAAAGAGCCACTGGCAGACAATGATGACAGCTCTTCTACTACCACAGAGACCTCTAACCCTGACGTGGAGGCCAATATTAAAGAGGTATACACGTGAAACATACTAGACCCACCAGAGTAATTCCCAAAACAAACTTGCTCGAAAATGTACATTCTAAATGCACTTTGACTACAATTTGTCGTCTTAACCAGGAGCCAGTGAAAGTGAAAGGAAAATCAGTGTCAGTGGACAGTGGAAAAGAAAGAGAAGAAATTACTCCCTCCCCTACTAAACCAAAAACTAAGAAACAACCAACCACAAAGAAGGAGAACCAAGTGGAAAAATCCAGGTTTGTTCAGACCTCTGCCATTGAAGGTGACGTGTAATTTCTGTCACTAGGCCCTGATGCTCATCATGGTGAAGAGGTAGCAGGGCTCGCAAAATCGTTAGCCCGACGTCTCGGGGCTATTGTGTTTTCCAGTCGGGCTACCAAAATGTTTCACCACCCTGCCCGACAGGCTATCATGAACAGTGATATAAAATTTCTTCCTTGATTTGCGTTGTTCACTAGCTTGTAGGGGTAAAACGGGTCGTAGTTGATCGTTTAACATTCAACGTGTTTTAAACATTCAAGTGTTTTCAACCATTCACGCATTCGGAGCTGCGCGCACTCATTCAAAGCGCGCACAAAGAGCCGCGTTTCAGACAATGCGCGTACACAGAATTGATTCCTCTTTCGCGTATCCTTGCATCTGAATGAACACATACACACGGAATTATCTCAAAATAGCTGTCTCGGCAAGTATTCTCGTAAACGCAGTCGGTTATGTCTTAAGTGAGCGTAAACAGTGGTGAAAGAAATTTCAAGTGCATCATTATATTGGATCCGTGCATTCGGTCTTAAAGCGAAATTATACAATCTAATTGCAATCTAACTAACATGTATTTAGCATTTTTGTTTGGATCGTGATTAAAATGCAGTGGTTGCCTCTGATTTTAAATGGAAAAAGCACAGCCAAAGCATTAGTTTGTTTATATGAAAAGATTTTATTTGTATTTAAATATTTGATTTGGGATTTGTTTTTAAATTTCAAGTTAGTTTTATTGTTTGACATATTTCAATTTCACAAAGAAATGTGCAGCATTTTGTTGGAGAAATAATAAAAGGACACATTTTTATTTATAATTTGTCTTAAATCTAATTTTATTAAAAAGAAAAATTGTAAGAAAATTGTATTGTGAAATCAGTATCATGAATCACATCGCATCGTGCGTTGAGTGAATCATTACATCCCTATATGCTGCTAGTTTTTGCTGTGGTATCAAAGAATTATTCTGTTATTTAAAAAAAGACCCATATTTTTTTTGCTCATCTGCAAAATGACCCGATCTGTTACTTAAAATCTGATATGATAATTCAATATGATCCGAGCCGTGGGTTTTGTGACCCGTTGCACCCCTCCTCTTGACTTGTTATTTGAAGAAAAAAAGCGATCACTGAAGTTTTTAATCATGCTGATTTGTCTGCAGTGAAGTTCAGCCGATGTCTTTTTTAAAAAAATTTTTTTTATGCGGGCTACTTAAATTCATTTTGGGCTACCAAAATAAAAAAATTTTTTTATGCGGGCTACTTAAATTCATTTTGGGCTACCAAAATCTGAAGAATGTCTGCCCGAAGGGCTACCAGCGATTTTGTAATTTTGCGAGCCCTGGGTAGGATATGTCTGCATTGCCATGCACCATTCTGCTGGGAGCTATGCTTAGATTAATATTTAAATATGTGTTGCACGCAATCCTCTCAATAATACAACAAACACACCACAATAATGACAGCAGTGAGAAAACAGCAGTTAGAAAAGCATCTGATCATAGGGATGTGGATATGTTTTCACCAGTTGCGCATTTCAGCACTCCAGTCAAGTCCTGTTTACTTATGACGCTTTAATAAAAATGGCTTCAAAACTGCTTCATGGTATTAAACAGGAGTCAGTGTCGCAAAGTTAAATTTCAATTTCAGGAATAAGAATTTTAATTACATCTTCAATTTCAACTATACAGTATCTTTCCAATGCATTCAGTGAAGAATAAATTTTACATCAAATAAAGTGGAGCCCCAGAGCACACCCACCTATTATGTAAACATCATGGACCAATGGCAGTTTGACGGAGTTCAACAGCAAAATAAGAGGCGGGAAATTTACACTGTTGAGCCATTTCGAAATGCCAAATTGGACTCCAAATGAACTTCGTTTTGGACAGGTTTTGTTAAAAAAAATGCAGCACACCCGTTCGTTCTTCGAGAGGGGTCTGAGATTATTTGAGTGACCCGAGGTGCCGCTAGTGAGACAGAAATGTAGTTTCCAGTGAATCATTCTAGAATGGTTAATCATCACTTTGCATCAGACTTACGTAGGTGATCTTCACCATCTCCATTATTACTCTCTCTTTGAATCTTAGTTTAATATCAGTGCCTTAATTTTTTTTCTATACAGCTCTCTAGAACTCCCTTACGTCACTCCCCTGGAAAAACAGGATAAGCAGCGCAAGACCTTCACCAAAACCCTTGCCAATACAGGAATTCACAGTGTCCCCAAACTACGAGCTCTGAGCAAAAGTAAATGTCAGATTTCAGCTTTTCCACCCAACATTTGAATCTCTGTTAACTCTAAAACCATTTTGAAACCACTTTTATTCTGTCTGCCCGAGTAGTCAGTGGGAAGATGAGTGATGACCGGCCATCTCCACTTGGAAAGTTTGTAGTCAATGGCTCCATGCAGGAACTGGGTCATAGCAGCGGATCAGAAGGAGAGAAAGAGTCCCCGCCACCAGAATGGGATGATCCTTTCAACAAAACTGGCAGCCGTAAGCAATGAGTCTGGAAGCATAAGCTGGACTCCATTATGAGTCAGTTTGTTACTTTATGTACTCTTATTTAAGTATCTAAATATTTGTGTCATATGTTTTATTAGCAGCCGACAGTCTTCAGCAGATATCTATGCAGACCATGCATGCAGACCCCTTCCTGAAAGGCCCCAGTTCAGTAATGCCCAGAACCTGTTCACCACCCCCGACCTCCCCTAGCCTGGTGCCTTGTGGAAGCTATGGCAGTGTGCCCCACACCAGCAGGTAACTTTAACGGGCGTGTGGACATTTGGGTAGGGCCTAAAATAACACTTGGCAAGCGCCAAATATGAATATAAATTGGCTAGTACATGAAACGTTACATGCCAGTTGGCCGGTAACTATTTTTTTCATTAATTCAAACATTCTAACATTAAGTCGCTTATAACATGCGTTTGAAACTGCAACATCTTTACCAAGCATCTTCCCAATTTTGTAATAAGTGTAAAGTTTTTATAAATCTGTCAACAAAAAAAGAAGCATTTCAAAAGATGTATCCCTGCTGTAGGGCTGTGCAAAAAATCGAATGCGATTTTCATGCGCGTCTCATCAGTAAAGCGCTTTTTGCCAAAATAAAAGCACAGGTTTAAATGCAGAGTAAGTGATTTTTCAAAAACACTTTAGAAAACTTCGGGCCGAATCGCAAAACAAACTTGTAGCCAATCAGCAATAAGGGGCGTGTCTACTCGTGATGTGGAGGAGAGCGCGTTCAGTGCATGGGACGGACATTTGCCGAAGCGAGCGACAGAAAGATAGAGATGGCGGATAAAAAACAAAAGAGGAAAACGTCTGCGGAAAAAAAAAAAAGCCATAAATAGTATTTGTACTGTTAATACTTTACAGTTCAGTAGTATTATAGTGATATTTCTTTGTATATTTCTTTGATATTAATTTGTATTTATTTATAAGTAAATAAAATAATAATAATTGCAATTAGATGTTTTAATTTTTTTAATGAAATAATGCACACACAGTTTCATGGCCATTAAAAAATATTTATGGCCGGCGAGTTTTCTCAAGTCACTGGTCATTGGACAGTGTGGCAAAATGTTAGTTTTAGAACCTGCATTTGGGTTATAGGCATCAAGACATTTCCTGGTTTCATCATGTTTGTGCGGGAAATATATGAGTGACGTTTGTTTTTCTTGTATATTTGTTATAGCGAGGCTAATTTAATAATTTTTTTAATGAAATAATGCACACACAGTTTCATGGCCATTAAAAAATATTTATGGCCGGCGAGTTTTCTCAAGTCACTGGTCATTGGACAGTGTGGCAAAATGTTAGTTTTAGAACCTGCATTTGGGTTATAGGCATCAAGACATTTCCTGGTTTCATCATGTTTGTGCGGGAAATATATGAGTGACGTTTGTTTTTCTTGTATATTTGTTATAGCGAGGCTAATTTAAAGAAGGCTCCAGGGAATAAGCTCACCAAGTCGGCCTCTCTGCCTGGTCAAAATGGAAATCCAACTTTTGCAGCTGTAGCTGCTGGCTATGACAAAAGCCCTGGTGAGTTTGCCCGTTAAATAGAAAGATGATATGGATAAACTTATAGTGGTGCATGAACAGGAAAAGTTGAGGTAATTACTGATCATCACCATTATTTTAACAACGATATTTTATTTTTTTTTAAGTGCCACAGATTTACATGTAAGTGTTATACAAGTTGTATGCTCTTGTTTTTACAGGTGGCAGTGGCTCAGCTAGTAAAGCTGACAGTCTGGGGAAGGTACCACTGTCTCACATGACATCAGTGGAGAGTGACGGATCTGACAGGTGCAGTGGCTTCATAATGAAACATCACTAAAGCTTTTTTCTTATCTGTTTTTACATGTATATTTACAATGCCATTATGCATATTTCAGCTCTGGACTGTGGAACCCGATAGACACCACCAGCCCCCCCAGTTTTGGACCGGTTAATGCTTTCTCTGCTTTTGGACCCAACAACCCACTTAATCTTTCTGGAGGTATGCGAAATGTTCAAATAAAATGCAAAATTAAAATAGCATCAAATAGCAATAAAATAGCATCCAGTGTGTCCAATATTGTGGTTATTCTCTGTATTAGTTTTCAGAGGCATGACTGTTCCCAAGAGTTCAGAGCCCCAGCAGAGTTGGCCTGACTACACTCCAGTTTCCCCATCCATCTGGGATACTGAGCCTAGTAATTCCTGGGCTACCAGCACTGGATCTCCAGCAACTCCAACAACTGTAAGATATCTCTTCCTTGTCACATTCTCATGTCTCATCCAGATGGACACCTGAGATCCCGTTAACACTAAGATCATGGAGTATCTCAGAAATCACAGTGACTGTTTTTTTTGTTGTTGTTTTTTAAATATCAAGGTTATTTTCAGAGGAATCTTGAACCATTACACACTACTGTAAATGTTTGGGTCAGCAAACATATTTCTACATTTCAAATACTTTTATTCAGCAAGGATGCGTCAAATTGATAAAGTGACAGTAAAGACATTTATAATGTTACAAAAGATTTCTATTTTAAATATATGCTGCTTTTCTGAACTTTCTATTCCATTGTAAAATATTCTACAAACATACACCTGTGACCTCACATCAGCATAGCGGTGTCTGTTTTGCTTGCAAACCGTTCTGCTAAACAATATTACAGTATTACTGTTTTGTATTTTTGATCAAATAAATGCAGCCTTGGTGAGAATTCTCTCAAAAACAAAACATAAAATCCTTGCTGACTCCAAACTTTTGAACAGTAGTGTTTATATATAGCACTAAGCCAGATACTTAACATGTTTCAGATTACCCCTGACTGTATGTAAAGGTAGTTCTACAGGTTATGAGATGAACATCTTTCTCTTTCTGCCTGTCTTTAGTCCATTTTGGGGAGTGCGCACAGTCCCTGGTCCTTCAGCAGGTCCATCTGGTCCACTGGCAACGACTCCACCCTGCACTCCTTCAACCCTCCTACTTCCTCCGCTGTCCCTGACTTGGGCAGCCACACTGCACCCCCCACACCTGCCCCCAACGACATAGGCCGCACCTACAACCCCTGGAGCATGGGGTGGTCTCCCTCACTCAATCGCTGGAATTCAGAGCCCTGGCCTAACAGCCCCGATAACAACGGCATCTGAGACGGAACAGCCCCACTGAGCAACAGAAAATGCAGTGGTTTCTAATCTTATTTTATTTTTCCTGGTTGAACAGTATGTTGTACGCCAACATCATTTTAATGATTGGGAAAAATCTTGAATTGTAATGGTACAAATGACCACTGGAAACCCAGTGTTGCATTTACAAGTCCCCCTCAAAATTCAGTCCTATTTATTTTAGTGGGGTATGATAAAAATGCCTTAAGTTCCATTTTAACTGACAAAGTGAACGACAGATTGAAGACATTGGCTTAAAGCTATTGCCCTTGTAGGGGTGTTTTTCTTTACGATTTTAGAGATTCCCTGTTTTGAGTAATACCGCATTGTAATTAAAGTATATGGTCCAGTATTACTGTGTTAAAATGCAAGATGCAGTGTTACTCAACCTTAAAATAAGCACTTTGCTTAAAACCCCACTCCTACAATGCTGTCATTTTGGTTTAAGATGATTTCATTCATTTTAGAGCATTTTCTGACCACACTTGTTGGTTGATTTAATGTTCGGAAAGATACAAGTGGTTGCTAAGACTACAATTACCACATTGATTTGAAACGCATTCAGGATTTAGATTTTATTTTTATTTTATTTTAATTGCCCTCTGCTTAAAGTGAAAAGCTTCATTTGATGAAATTGGCTTTTAATTTGAGGGAGCTTAAAGAACCTGAAATGTGTTCTGTGCATCATTCATTTGTCACTTCAAGAGTGAACGTTTGGTCACACTGGTTGAAATAAACATATCAGGCTGGAATATTGACTTCTCATTTTATTTCTGGCTAAATTTAAACTTGATTGAAGGGATAGTTCACCCAATAATAAAAATTGTCATTTACTGACCCCATCTCATTCTAAACCTAGATTTTCAAAACACGAATGAGGATATTTCGGTCCACGCAATCAAAAGTTTGATGATTCAAACAGTGATAAAAACATCGTAAACATCCATATAAATGAAGAAGTTTAATCGAATTCTTCTGAAAAGAGACTTGATCACTTTATATGATGAATAGATGATGATGGGTGGCTTTTACCCAAGATAATTTGTTTCTGCATGTGAACTCCCAGGTTGCGATGCGTGTTGAGCAGGTATATTCCTCCAAAACTACACAAGCTGATTCAGCTTCCATACTAAAATTAAATCTCCGCAGATGGTGTTAGATTTCCCTTGCCTGGAAAATGAACAGTGGTCAGTGTGGGGAGATGAAGCTCTGTAAAGCGTCCTGAATGGGGTACATGTCCTGACCTGTGCTGTTCTTGGCACTGCCTTGGTTTTTATGTAATACATAATCACTGATATGAAAAGTGCAATTTGCTGCCACCCATTTAATGTGGCCAGTTTTTATACAGCAGCTCATTTTCTTACCTTCCATGTTACTGCCCATAATGTACAGATCCTTGAGTTTCTGAGGGAGGGAGGGATCTAATCTAACAGCCAAAGCAAGTTAGTGAGTGGACCAAGAGCTGTGTATGAGTAAACAAACAGGGCTGTGCAAGTGCATACTATTGTCAACCACAAGATGGCAGCACAAAATTCAGCAGGGAAACAAACATTCTAATCCAGTGGTTCTCAACCTTTTTGACTCCAAGGGCCCCCTGTTGTCAAATATTTGAATGCCCTCCAAGATATTTCTGACACTTCTGCATTAATAACAAAGCTGCTCATTTTCAAACTTTTTTTTTTTTAATTTACAGAAACAAGTAGTAGTAATATACTAAATTAACAAATAAGATGAATTAAAAATATTACATTTCATAATTCCAGAAGTTTCAATAACTAAATATTCTTCATGGTTTATACAATATTACCAATGTTGTTGGACTATGTCCTAGTTGTTTGTGATTACAGGGTTTTTCATTTATTGTATTAAATTTATTGATTGGTAAGGGAATGAATTAAAATAATTAATTAATATGATTTTTAGCCATTTTCTAAGAGGGTACTAGGATGTCTTTATATAATTTTCTCCTAAAAAAAACAACTTGGAAAAAAGTGAGTCTGTAGTGCATCAAATTTCTTTTTATTTTTATTCATTTTTTAAAAATCAATATTGTAGAAATAAACAGGCTTATTAAATAGTTTTCTTACCTCTCCCTCACTGGTCTTATCATGGCATGAACAGCATGCTCTTTCTGTATCTGCCCTTTCCAAACCTCAGAGTTCTCTTAAGATTAAGACTCTTAACTATTAAGACTATCTATAATTACAAACCTGTCTGCCATAACATTAAATGTTTTATACAGAAATTCTTATATATATATATATATATATAGTATATATGTTATACTGTTATATAGACCGTTTAAATCCGATGTAAGAAACATTTCCATTTATGTCGTACAACACCCCTGTGTTTGAGATTGGTAGAGCCCGTTGAAACACAGCTAGGCGATCCAACAGAGAGGTCGCGCAGCGCAGTATAATTCATTTACTCCTGCAGCATTGGCAAGGTAGGTGTAACTAGATTTACTCTTTTTGCATTATTTTATTTATGGCTAAGTAAATATGAATAAATATTTGGGCCATGAATTGACGCTTCATGTTCTTTCGAAGAGCCTATTGATGGCTACACTGATGCTCCTTTGCTATTATTCATATGTCTGGATTATTTATATGGTGTCTTTGGTGGTTTAAATTTATATTGCGGCGATTTGTTTTATAATCTAGTCCTGAAATTTATTGTTGTCTTGCCTACCGACTGCCATCGATTGAATGACTTAAACAATGGTAGTGTCGACGATGAAGATGATGATGGTGTAGGTGGAATTCAACCCTGTGGTACGATGCTTTGATCTATTTAAACGATGAAACATAGTTAAAAGCTGCTGTCAGTGTCAGCTGTGACTGACCCATCATTTTCATCCAACATTTCATCTATAGCAGTCTCTGGCCTAGTTTAGGACTATATAATCATAAATAACCATGGTGATTGAGTCAGCAGTGTCACACCACACTTTAGTTCACAAAAATTCACCATGCTTTTATTTTTGCTGGTGTTTGTTTTTGTTTACATGAATGATTGTAGTTATGTCAGATATTAGATCCATGAAAAAGGCTGAAATTCAAAGCAATCTTAAAATAGTATTCCTATTTAGGGATCTCTTTGGCATAACCAACATGCAGGAATCGGTTTTGTCATCTTGTGACAAGAAAACCATGAATCAGACACCGTCATGATTGCGTCAAGAATAAGTTTAACAAATTGTGTATTTTTGCACTTTGTGTAACCCTAAGATGATTACTGATGTACATGTCTCAGAAATTCATTCAAATATGTTTGATTACAAACAAACAAATAAATAAATAGTGTACAATCACATGTATTCAGGTTTGGAAAGTACTGTTTAAAAATGTGGGGTTTATTTATTTATTACTATTTATGAACAAGGATGCATTAAATCAAAATTAAAAGTAATAGTAAAGACATCCAATTTAAAAAAATGATTTCTATTTCAAATAAATGCTCTTATTTGGAACTTTTTATTTATCAAAAACTCGAATATAAAACAGTTTCCACAAAAAAGAAAAACATTATTATTGCTTTGATTGATTATTTATTAAGTTTATATTTTATACATTTCTTATTATTATATACAGTTTCTTACTATCTGTCTTTCTGTCTTGTTCTTAATTGTAGTCAGTGGATGAGATTCTTTCTTTGAGCTCTCTTCTTGGACTAAGCCGTTGCAACTGGAGTACATCTGTAGGTTATTCTCTTAACCATCATCCCAGTAAATAATTAATTAATATGATTTTTAGCCATTTTCTAAGAGGGTACTAGGATGCTTTATATAATTTTCTCCTAAAAAAAAACAACTTGGAAAAAAGTGAGTCTGTAGTGCATCAAATTTCTTTTTATTTTTATTCATTTTTTAAAAATCAATATTGTAGAAATAAACAGGCTTATTAAATAGTTTTCTTACCTCTCCCTCACTGGTCTTATCATGGCATGAACAGCATGCTCTTTCTGTATCTGCCCTTTCCAAACCTCAGAGTTCTCCAGAACATCTTCAAGTCCATCTGTGCCAAAGTGATCTTTAAATCCTATCACAGGTCCGATTAGAGGACCAGCATGCCCTTTAAAAACTAACACCGGAAGCCAGACACATTAAATTTACAAATGGCCGCACCCGCTCTTACAGGGAAATGAATAAATAAATGACCATGATATTTTTTCACACTTATCTCATTTTTAGTAATTCAAGCTAAGATGTATAGCTTTTTATCTGATAAAGTAGCGTTTATGAGCGCAGCGCTGCTTTGTGTGCAGCCGTTTTCAGGGAACAGCAATATTTCTGACGTTCCAAAAGCGCCTCCTACTGGCAGAGAATCAATTTGCATATTCAATAAGCCCATCTGCAGTTTTTATTTAGACCAATGTGAAAATTCACCCATATAACCGTGTTTTAAATGAATGTAATAATAATTTATACCTCTGACTCATTATTAAAATGGTTTAAAGCCTGAAATGTGAGGTTTTTCATTTTATTTTGTTTTTGTGAAAACCTGCATCTCAACTATAAATGTTTTTACAGTCATTTTACAGTTTAATATGTTACCACAGACATTACCCTACCCTGCTCATGCAGTATTATATTTTTATTTTTTAAATAATTTTTACAGGTCTTAAAAAAGGTCTTAAACCATTTTAAATTGGATTTTAAAAGTCCAGACAGATGTGGCTTTGCACACTGCCAACATCTAGAATGATTTTGATCAGCATTTTAGTGTTCATAGCAGAGGACTCTTCCTCAAAGATTTTGTAGGCTTTGCATACACATGTACACCCCTCGAAAGAATGACTTAAACAATGGTAGTGTCGACGATGAAGATGATGATGGTGTAGGTGGAATTCAACCCTGTGGTACGATGCTTTGATCTATTTAAACGATGAAACATAGTTAAAAGCTGCTGTCAGTGTCAGCTGTGACTGACCCATCATTTTCATCCAACATTTCATCTATAGCAGTCTCTGGCCTAGTTTAGGACTATATAATCATAAATAACCATGGTGATTGAGTCAGCAGTGTCACACCACACTTTAGTTCACAAAAATTCACCATGCTTTTATTTTTGCTGGTGTTTGTTTTTGTTTACATGAATGATTGTAGTTATGTCAGATATTAGATCCATGAAAAAGGCTGAAATTCAAAGCAATCTTAAAATAGTATTCCTATTTAGGGATCTCTTTGGCATAACCAACATGCAGGAATCGGTTTTGTCATCTTGTGACAAGAAAACCATGAATCAGACACCGTCATGATTGCGTCAAGAATAAGTTTAACAAATTGTGTATTTTTGCACTTTGTGTAACCCTAAGATGATTACTGATGTACATGTCTCAGAAATTCATTCAAATATGTTTGATTACAAACAAACAAATAAATAAATAGTGTACAATCACATGTATTCAGGTTTGGAAAGTACTGTTTAAAAATGTGGGGTTTATTTATTTATTACTATTTATGAACAAGGATGCATTAAATCAAAATTAAAAGTAATAGTAAAGACATCCAATTTAAAAAAATGATTTCTATTTCAAATAAATGCTCTTATTTGGAACTTTTTATTTATCAAAAACTCGAATATAAAACAGTTTCCACAAAAAAGAAAAACATTATTATTGCTTTGATTGATTATTTATTAAGTTTATATTTTATACATTTCTTATTATTATATACAGTTTCTTACTATCTGTCTTTCTGTCTTGTTCTTAATTGTAGTCAGTGGATGAGATTCTTTCTTTGAGCTCTCTTCTTGGACTAAGCCGTTGCAACTGGAGTACATCTGTAGGTTATTCTCTTAACCATCATCCCAGTTCTCCGTTCAATGCCTAACACTGGGGAAAGTGAAGGCGCCAAGGTATCTGCTAGGACTGATCAGGAGGCCCCATCACGGGCCCCGGCCAGAGAGGATGAGCGTGAGCGCAGCTTCCTGAGTCCGATGACGCGTGATGCGCTGCGGGTACGACGGGCCTCCAGCGCAGAGCTCCAGCTTCCATGGACCTGCCCTGTAACACACTCCCGAGAGAAGTTCTACACCGTCTGCTCGGACTATGCGCTGCTCAACCGAGCCCGACCCATTATCACATCTGAAGATGCGCCACCGACCAATCCAGACACCACATCATTAGTCAAGACCAACGCTGCAACCCCTTCCCAGAGTCACTCAGGGGGAATAAGTATGTCTTTAGATGGGAACTGTGATATGGAGGTTGTGTCATCCAGCAACAAGCCTGTGCTGGCCTGGGAGATTGACACCTCTGATTTTGATGTGGTTTTAACACGGAAAGCCAGAACAAGTATGTCTTTCTAAAAAGATTAAAGCTATCTACATACTGTCAGCCGGGGTTTTCAAACTGCAGAGACAGATCGAAAAAATTGAGAGACAAAAAAAGATATAAAATGATATATATATATATATTTTGTAAATTTAAATGTTTAAATAAAAAATATTTTTTTTATTAGGGCTGTCAAATTTAATGTGCACTAATTTATATATATATGTTATGTATATGTATATATTTGACAGTGTAAAAGAACATTATATGATTTTTGGAAACATTGAATTTTGTTGTTTTTATAATGTCACACTTCCTATCTTTCTCACACAATATAAATGGGTTTTAATACCTGAAAATATATAGATGTTTATATATTTCAGGATGGGGGTCATCTTGTTTGAGGGTCCTTGCCATCAAAAATTTTGAAAACCCCTGCTGTAGACCACATATCACATTTAAAAATATTTTTTGAGGCTTATGAACCATGACATTAATGTTATTTTCAGTAAACTAATTATAAAAATGTGTGTATATATATATATATATATGTGTGTATGTATGTATATATACTGTATGTATATGTGTGACCCTGGACCACAAAACCAGTCTTAAGTCGCTGGGGTATATTTGTAGAAATGGCCAAAAATACATTGTATGGGTCAAAATTATTGATTTTTCTTTTATGCCAAAAATCATTAGGATATTAAGTAAAGATCATGTTCCATGAAGATATTTTGTAAATGTCCTACTGTAAATATACTAAAACTTAATTTTTGATTGGTAATATGCATTGCTAAGAACTTCATTTGGACAACTTTAAAAGCGATTTTCTCAATATTTAGATTTTTTTTGCACCCTCAGATTCCAGATTTTCAAATAGTTGTATCTCAGCCAAATATTGTCCTATCCTAACAAACCATACATCAATGGAAAGCTTATTTATTCAGATCACTTTCAGATGATGTATAAATCTCAATTTAAAAAAATTGACCCTTATGACTGGTTTTGTGCTCCAGGGTTGTATATATATATATATTTCACACATTATCACAGTTTATTCGCTATAGTTTAGAAAATGGTAATAAAATATGACAAGAACTCAAGAGTTAAACTGTGTCAGAACAAATTCATCTTGATAATGTCAGATAACACTTAGGCAAAACATGGTCAGGTCAAAGTGTTTGAATAATTTTTGGTCCCATATTTTTATCAATTTTACTGGTAGTCCACTGTATGAAGAATTTTTGGGTATAATATGTCACAGTTTACTTTATTTTGCTATCCTCCCTAACATAAATGAACTATAGTGTCCTGCACGCACTAGTAAAAAAATATTAAAAATTATATCTGGTGTGTGAATAATTTTTGGTTTGACTGTGTGTGTGTGTATATATATATATATCATACTGACCATCTGCTGTGGTTTATGTAACTCCAGCGATGGCCTCACTGACACAAGTGACTCTGTTACATGGTTTTCACCTCATGGTGAACAGACAATGTTTTAATTTGTAATTAATTCCAGATTTATAGAGAGAATGTATTAGAATTTTGCCATCACTCATTACTTGATCAAAAGAAGTCTAGGGATGTTTAGACGACAAGATTGCTGATCTGAGGAATCTTCGCCGAGACAAAGAGCACAGGGCAGATTCAAAATGATAATCATGCTCTCTACATATGATTAATGAAGCGTAACTTTGAGCTTACCTTTATCCAAACTCCAGCTAAGCCTTTCTTCATTGCATTTTAAGAACCTACTTGATCCTAGAAGATATGTGAGTGTAAATTCGAACCAGCATGAGTCTAATATATTACTTAGAATGTTATTAAAGGATGAAGTCTGTGTTGTTTCTCAGGTAATTTAAAGAAATTCAACTCTAAGAAAATGAAATCATCTGACAGGCCAAGCAGAAACCTGCAAGATCTCCCACCACAAGCTTCTCTGGAGGAGATCAAACAGAGAAAAGTCTTGGACCTCCGTAGATGGTAAT